TCCCGATAATGTTAAAGCAAACGCCTCTCGCGCCAATTAAACGGTTACACATGAATGTACCGTCTTAATTTTAATCGGGGAAACAAGGTCGAGTTCATAATCGGCGCGGCGCTGCGTCGTTCGCGGATGCGGTACGGGAGATAGCCGTTAAAAATTGATACATATAGTGGTAGTGGTATATTGGCCCAACTTTGAAATTGACTTCCAATAAGCGGAGGACAAAATTGATGATCGAATGATGCTCGATGCGCTGTTGAAATTTCTGGCAATTGTCGGCCATTTCAATCTGCGAAATTCAAGGATCGGTCGTATCGTCCAATATCGCAGCCGTAAAATGCAGACAAGCCCGGGTGTGCAAACTGTTACGGGGGAACTGTTGCGAATCGATGACAAGTCAGTCTTTGTGTTTGGATTAATCGCGGAGCAACGCCCGTTTTCCCGCAAATGCTCAGCCAAGCCGCAATTTTGATTCTGCATTAGTCCTGCAAATACCTGCAAGTCGATGCTTGAAGGACCAGTGCTTTCGTTACAAATCACCGCGAATTTGCGACGTGCAACGCCAAAACAGAAATCAAACAGAAGCAGCATTTCAACCTGGCTGCGTAACGAAACCGGTTCGAGACAACATGACGTATTTTCCGCACATGAAAATGAAACCTGCTGGAACGATGAGGGGTTCCTATGTATGGAGTATATATATATATATATATATATATATATATATATAATTTGATAAAATTAAATAGAAATTTTTTTCTAAAGGAGTTTACTCGTTTCTACATTGCAAAAAAACTCGGAAGAATACTGGCGGCGCGGCGGAATGTATCTCCCGTTTCTCCGCGTGTTTCAACGTCATACATTCGCCGCATATTACGCATGCGTTCATCGCTTCATCACGTCGCTAATGAGATAGCGAATTAAATAATTTCATATCGGTTTACTAACAGTTATTAAGCAAGCTATTTACCGTTCATTCAGCCCCTTCGTATAAATTCCCTCGTCGTCGTGTTGCAATTCCTTTCTTTCTTGTTGCACAAGCACCGCCCGTCTTATTGCGTTCCTGTCTCTCCTTCCTCCGTGATACTTTAACTCTTATTTTTCGCCCGTCTATTCCCGGCGCGCTCCCGTCAAATATTTAAAGGTTTCCTCGTTTTCAGCGAGTCGCTGTAAACGTATCGCATCTATTTTTCAACAGACAGCCGACGCAGGAAACACCCCTGCCTGCCTCTCTATAGTTTTTCCCCGTTATTCCTGCGTTCTAATTACCGTGCGTTTCAGGCCGTCGCAGACACGTTGCAACAGATACGCGCGATATCCGCCAAATCGATATTTCCATTCTACGGCTACGCGCGTGATTTGTGCGACGAATTCCGCGCGCCAAGACGGCCGGAGTGCGCATCTGCTAGGGGGAAGGGCGGGGGGTAGGGGCGGGGGATATTCGAATCCGGGAATCCGCGATCGGAGTGATCCGCGAAGGTTCCATTTGTACCGCATAAGTCCACCATCGATCACGGTAGCGCCCGAGATCCGTTACGATTGGCAGAGACATAATATCCACGGATCGCCTTCTTTATTAGCGGCACTTGAATCCAGGTAACCGGGAGAATCCCTCACGGTGAGATGCGCCGCCGTCCTGGCGGACGGTGGATATGAATTTCATATTTTACGATAATACCGCGGGATACGTTCCGCAGGGCAAACGAATCTTGACCCCTCGGTGCAGCAGTTTTCACATCGCCCGCCGTGTGGGATTCGTATCCGCGCGTGAATTTTCCCGAGCGTTACTTCACTTCAACGTTTCATATCGACTACCTCCTCCTCCTCCTCCTCCTCCTCCCCCCCCCCTCATTCGCTCTTTTCGTGCAGCGGCATCGCGCATTGAAATTCGCGTCGATAGAACGCGAACTGATAAATCGATATCAAAATGTGCAGTTAATCGAGGTTCGGTACGAAAGAAACTCGACTCTCATGGCTGGCTATCCGTATCACGGTAAAAACTTTATCGTGCAATTCTCCTGTGCTATCTAAAGGTTATATCTGTTCTGTTACGTTTTATTTCCCGTTCCGCGCGCGCCTCGTTATTTCGCGAAAAGGGGCTCGGGGAGGGGCGGGGCGAAAGCGAGGCGTAAGTAGTAATTATGAATCTGGCCGAAAACGTTAATAAACTCTCGCGTTAATGAAGAGGAGATGAGAAATTGAGAAAATTTTAGCGCGCATCACGGGAATACGCGTGCACCGTCGTAATGCGGTGGAATTCGAACATTTCCAAATTTAAAGCTTTCGGTCGTGACCGTGGAGAAATAATAATCAGGGAGAGAAGTTCCGTTGTGTCGACGAATATTTCATCCATTCTGAATTTAATTCGAGCGAAATTTCCTCCCGGGCGAACTTACATTCCCATTTGAGCCGCCTACCGCTGGCTCCCACACGATGATGTCCGGATCAACTAAATAAAATTTGCATCATGCATATATATTTAAGTGACTGATTCACCGGTTGCATTCCGCGCCACGCGCGAGGAATCGCGAGATATTTCGACGGGACGGCTCGCTGCCACGATTATCGTACGCTGCTGTGTGCTGTCGATACTATTCATAGACAGAACGTGCCAACGTAACCGGTATTCGATTAATCGTTCTATCGTTTTCACGAGTCGTCGGTTTATCATCGCCCCGGGCAGAGCTTAGCAGACTCCACGGTTATTTCCTTCGCTTGACTTGCGAGCAATAGCTTCCGGTTTCATCTCGAGTACGTTGGCTTCAAGTGCTTCGCTGTATAAAGTGTACGTATACGGAGCCCGTAGTTAAGAACGTGAGAGTAATCGGAAAGTTCAAGTCGAGAGCTAGCTAGCTGTTGCTAGCTAGCGCCTCGTAATCGAAGGGGATCGATCGAGAATCTCGGAAGAGAATATCCTCTGTATTCGTGTCACGGTGTGTTATATTCCGTTGGGATAAAAAATATCCGAAGACGGCGGCGCTGATGCCGCGGAATCATTGGCGGAAATGTAATTGCGGAGGTACAAGAATCGCGCGCTCTGTTTCAGCACCTCGACGGCTGCATTTGTGCCAGTGCGGAAAAAAATTGTCGCCTGCGGATTATCGCTCGGAGCTCGCTTATCTAAAGAGAGACGGTCATTTTCTTCTTGCATATAAATTCGTAAATTTCCATTTATATATACAGTCCCTATATAACATCACAATTATAATACTGCTGTTATCGGCAGGTATTTTTTGACATGAGACGATAATCGCCGACGAAATGAAGTCACGCGTCCACAGCAGCCATCGCGAAGTGTCAACGCTTCGTCGCTCGTGTCCTCGCGATATCGTTTGGCCGATAATTTTGCGAAATTTTTGCGATATTGCTCGAGATATATCTTTGTCGAATAAACGAGCCGTTCATTCTAATTCGCATTGCCCGTGGCCAAAAATTACCGAGAACGGAGCTCGAGTTAGTACGGCAGATCCGCGGCAGCTTGGCTCGACTCTTCGTTTGCGGATTGTTCCTTACGACCCGTTACACCACGACCATTTGCTCCATAAATGCTATCCGACTGAACTGTCATTAAATATGTGATAACAAGCCTTAACCGTTTTAATTTTAACCGCGAACCGGTCCGAATGCGGCGGTATGAATCACGAACCGCCAATTAGCATGCGACGGAATGAACCGCGATAATTTTCCCGCGACCAGTTGATGCCTGGAAATTAACTGCGGAAGTCGTTACATACATACTTCTCACTCCCCACTTCGGATTGCCATATTTTAATTAATTAAATGCGAGCGAGCGGACCCTTAACGTGATTAATGAGTCTACGGATAATTCTCACAATGTCTCGTTACATACGCGACTGTACGAGAGTACGCGGAGCATTCCAGTGGCTTTCTCATCGTCATCGACTCCATTTTATAATTTTTCCCGCGCGACGCACAAACGGCAAACGAGTTGTTCGATGCCCTCCTGCGGTTCCAGCTTTTGAGCGACATGGCGACAGAGTTGGAGGGTTCCGTAAATTGACAATCCATTTCAGGCGCATTCAATTTCTCCGGAAGTACCGGAAGCAACAAATAAAAACACAAGCGCACGCGCGCTCGGACGCAAATTATATTGTAAATATCGATACCATCGATAGAGACGAAGAACCAACGAAGAGCTCCCTCTCGACGCTCTCCCTACGACGAGGTCGATTCTGATCGAAGCCGCGACCGCTTCATCACTTTGTTACACACAGTTTCGGGCTCTATTCGATCGCTGATACATTCGATTTACATATTTGGAATTCCTGGAAAATTGCGTTACGCGCGCGCGCTCCTCCTCCTCCTCCTCCTCCGCAGTATCGCGCTTCGTCGAGTGCCGCGCACTCGCGATTAGCGATGATTTTTTTTCCCAATGGCGAAATTTTCTTTATTACTTCACACGAGTCCGTTATCTGCGTGACGGCAATGGCCGGAACGCTGTTCGCAGACACTTCATTTCGCCAGAACAAACAAGCTTTTAATCACAGTTTCAGTTTGCAGCTATTGTCTTTGCATCGCGACCCCGCGCGTTTACCCCCGCGCTCGCGCTGCTACGGCAGAATCAATACCCCCCCCCCGTCCTCCCTTTTCTCACCCTTCCTTCTCCTGCTCCTCGCCGACCTTCCCCTACGCCAGCGTCGCCATCGCCGACGCGGCCACCGCCACCGCGCCGCCGCCCCGTCGTCTCGGAGCGCGCTTAATATTTTTCCACGGTTACGCGTCCGTTTAGCTACCTTCCCGAGGATGGCGCCGGGATTACGCAATACACGTAGCCCATTGTATTCCACAGAAGCGCATAAAGCTGGCGACATAACGGGCTCCTCATTGGCGCTTGAATATTGGATAAGTTCGGCGCGGCGAGCTCGGAGAGAGCGGGGAAACTGCGCGATTACGGCGCGCCCGACCCGCAGAGCCGGGTGTCGGGCTTGAGAGTTTCGTCGACAATGACTATAAGAGAGACCCGCGAAATTATTATGTTTCAGCTCTGCCCGGCGGAGGCCCCGTTATCGCATCGGAACGCGAGCGCTACGACCCGGGAGACACGCTGAGGGCAAATTGCAGCCTGCCGCTGTCGAGGCCGCCAGTTCAACTCTCATTCACGCTCAACAACCTGCCGGTAAGCGATGTCTATCGACACGATTGTCGTATTATCGAGTTGTAGAGTGTGTGAGAGAGAGAGAGAGAGAGAGAGAGAGAGAGAGAGAGAGAGAGAGAGAGAGATGGGTAGACGATAAATAGATAGACAGATAGACGGATGAGCAGACGGATGAAAAGGCGGCAGAAAGTATCGGCGCAATTAGGGTGCAGGGTAAAGCGTTGTCTACAATGGCAGTGAGCAGTAAGAAGTAAGCGTGAACAGTAAGAAATGGACCAATCACAGTTGATTATCTTTGTCACAATCGTGATTGCTTCATTTCTTACCGCTTATGCTTACTTCTTACTGCTTACTGCCATTGTAGACGACGCTTAATTTGTGATTGTACTAACGTCACTTTATGTATTCGCGAATCTTCAATCCGTTAATTCTCTGCTATATACAGGGTGTTTACGACCATCTGTCCATCTCGATTTTTTCGAAAACGCGACATTTTAGGGAAAACTGTTTTGGACAAAAGTTGTATGATTTAAAGGGGGGCATAAAACGACTATATCGCTTTGTTTACAGATAGCGCCACTTTTGAGATATTTACTGGTTATTACTTTTTTTTAAATGGAAACCCCAATTTTTTATATCATCAATCAACCAATCAATCAATCAGTCAATCATTATATCATCTTTTTCTACCAATTAATGTCAACAATTTTTGTTTTGTTTTTTTATCTGCCTGATATTTTTTTTAGATATTTAAGGAAAATTTGATAACTTTTTCAACATCTAACTTACGATATCTCGCTAATTGTTTGTCGGAGGAAGAAGTGGTACCAGACTTTATTACTCTACTTGATCTCAAAAATATATTGTTGCAATAGTGTCCTAACTTTTGTTAACTTATCGACTTTTGGAAATTTCAAAATCGTCAAATTTATTCATACATCTAATAAATTACCGTATTGACGCGTCGCAACATTGTTTCACATTTGTTCCCGATTTGCTTCTGTTTCTCCGTGACTCACGGTCGAAACACAAATAATACCGCGTGGGCCGGTCAGTAACGTCCGAGTTACTGGAAAAACACGAATTTCCTCAGCGATCGGTCAACGGTACTTTAAAAGAAACGCAGTTTTCGCGAGGGCCCTTTCGGCGACCGCTCGATACAATTAATGACCCGCGCGAAATGTCGCACGAATCTTCGCTTTTGCGGCGGAATCCGCAATGTTCGTGATTGTGTTGCAAGAGCAATGAGAAGTAATTCGCCGCACTTGACGCATCTCTCCCCCTAATCGAGTTCATGTAAACTCGTTAAAAATGCAACACCGAATACATTCAGTAGGAGAACGCGCACGATTTGCCGCGTTTTACCGCATCATCAAGAAGGACAGAAGAAAATTACGCAAGTACATCGCATCTCATACGAAGGCAAAGAAACTCTTAATTTTTAATTGATATACAATCGCGTTCGCCTGCGCGCTCCGCGCCTGTGCCGAGTATTATCGCATACTTGGCGCATGCATAAACCAAATTGCACCCTGCCCTTCCCCCGCACGCCTCACGCACGCAAAGTTTCCGCGAGTCAATAAGCATTATTCGACCGCAACAAATTATCGCGCGGTTTAACTTCCGGTTAATTATGGTTTTATGCGGCCTCCGACCGTTCGGATCGAGTAATACAATTAAACGCGGTTAAACAAAGTTATGTAATATTTAAATAATTAATTTGACACACACATAGTGTCTCTCCTTCTCTTTCTCCCAGTGTGTTGTTGGACGTGTGCTATAAACATTATTATGCGTGCGTGTCGCAAACGTGTGTGCAATGCGATAGACTCGATGGCGCGCGTTATCATCGTTTTCGATTTATACACTAATTACCTGTAACAAACGCTTATTATGCCTGTCGGCGATTGATTCATTTGGCACACCCGACGATTAGCCAAATGTGACAAAAGCGCGAAAACTGGTCTGGGAGTCTGGGAAGTCTGGGAGGATATATTCTGGAGGGAGGGTCTACGTCTGGTAGGCACATTTTGAAAGTATTTCGGGCTCGTGCCGGGACTTCCTCCCTCTCTCTCTCTCTCTCTCTCTCTCTCTCTCTCTCTCTCTCTCTCTCTCTCTCTCTCTCTCTCTCTCTCTCTCTCTCTCTCTCTCTCTCTCTCTCTCTCTCTCTCCCCCCCTCTCCCTCATTTTCTCTTTTTATCAAACGGTCCATTTAACAGTTGTAGCCGTTTTAACTTCCTGACGCTCAATCGGAATTCGCTTTTCTCACATCTCGCTTCTTTCCGTATATGGGTCTTCCTTTTATAAAAATTGTTCAACGGAGGACTATTTGCTCTCGCCACCCCATCGAACCTCGTAAGGCTTACTGGAAATCGCGCGGCGGATCACGATATCGATTCTCAATTTACGGAATATATGTATCTGCACCGCCGCCGCGCTATTATCATCGCCGCCGATGTTTATTGCAGCAGGAAACTGCCTTAACCGTTTTCGGAAAAGGGATCGTTCCCGCTCGCTCGCCCGCGTCCGCGCGCGCCGCCCTCGTTTCTGTTTTTCTTTTATCACCGCGAAATCACGCGCTCGGAAATGGATTCCATTTATTACCCGTGCCTTCTAACTGGTACCTTAATGTGCGCGCGGCGTTCTCGCGCGCGCCTGCTTACTCTCCCGAGCGCAATGACGGCTCATTTTAGAGCTCAATTTAGTCCGAAATAATTCCGACGTGCGCCCTTTCGGGAGCAGCTGAACGAGCGAGGGGTTGGGGTCATCGATGGACTTCCTCTTTTTCGTTCTCTCTCTCTCTCTCTCTCTCTCTCTCTCTCTCTCTCTCTCTCTCTCTCTCTCTCTCTCTCTCTCTCTCTCTCCCTCTCTCTCTCTCTCTCTCTTCATTCCCTGTCTGTCTGTCTTTTCCCGAAAAGAGGCGGCGGAAATTGACAGGCTTTAAAGGGGCTAAGCAAACTCTTTGTTCCGCGAAAATGTGTAGTAATATGCGTATCGTCTGTTTGCCTACCGTGCCGCGATCCCGCTCTTACGGCGAATTGAAATCCCGCCGGAATTGGAGCACGGATGATTAAGCCTCAGCCAGTCGCGCCGCGACGTCGTCGCTGAAGTAAGAGGAGGTTTTATCAACCGCGTCCGCGGGATAAGGGAATTTGAATAATCGGATAATCCAAGTGAGATAGAGAGAGAGAGAGAGAGAGAGAGGAGAGAGAGCCGAAGAGCTCTCCGAACGAAATACTAATAACCGCGATACGAGCAAAAATGTTGTCGGCCAACTTTTGCCGCGCGGGACACGCCGCACGAACGTAGCCGCCGGCGATGCATTACCCGTAATCCCTACGGATGATGTCGCGTGATCTCATCAGCCGATACGATGCTAAATGCAAAATGGGAACAGCGCGCGCGGTCCGTGCTTGATCGTTCACAAGATTCCGAAATCCGTCCCGTCGACTTTGACCACGCGGGATTCCACGCGCTTAGCGCGACCTGTCGTCTCTCTTTCTCTCTCTCTCTCTCTCCCTCTCCCTCTACTTTTCTCTCTCACCTTACTGCTGGCGACCACCGTTTTTTTCACGCAAGAGACACGTTGAACTTTTATCGAACCGCACCGACGATGAGGAAACGCTCGTGTTACCTATTGCGACGGACACTCTGCGATATTAGCGGATTCACTTCGGACGTTTTTCACACAAAGACGGGGTGTCTCTCGTGCGTCCCCCGAGGCGAATTCATTAATCGGTGATCAAGATCGAATTAATTTCCGCGTATATCGACTCGGGGGATTACCGCCGAGCGAGCTTGATAATCGAGGGATAAATGTTTCGCTCGAGTCTATCTTATACAACGCCCGATGGCGTCATCGATTATACACGTTGTAACGCAAATTCGCCCGCTCGTGCGGTGTACACACTTAGCGCGCAGCAACTCAACCCGCGAGACAATTGCCGACAGCGAATCGTAAATTCGCCTTAATGGACCGAGTTGTAATGATATTACCTCTCGGCCGACGGGACGAATAAGGAGCCGGGAAAATACGAATCCGAAGAAACTCAACCGCGGCTTTCCCTTCTCCATGAGACCTGGAAAATTAGTATCGCGTATATACGGTAAGCGCGAGTAACGAAGGAGCCGTGTCGACGCGGCGGCGGCGGTGGCGGCGGCGGCGGCGGCGGCGGCGGCAGAGGCACGGCGAGGGCAGGAGGAGGCAGTAACGAATTGCTCGGACCGGGAACAAGCGGGTCTGCTGCTAGCTTCTTACGGTTAACGTCTTGTCGAGAAACTCGTCGAATTTGCAGGGAACGTTTCTAAGAGCATGGAAGATATCTTGTCGCGGAAACAACGGTTTCTTGCAACGGGGCGTTGCCTGCAGTGCAAGTTTACTCGCGCCGGGGAAAGTAGTTTACCGCCGGGAAAAACTTTCAGCCAGCGCGGATCCCGTTCCCACACCACGATTTATATTCCCTCGCTCGGCGAAAATCTCGTTCGATGTCGTTACCGTGTACAGCTCTGTGTATTATTTGTTAATTAACGTTTCGACAGGCGCCGGATTGTTAGACGGCTGCCGCAGACGCGCCGCTCGCCCCTACGCGTCCCCGTTTCTCCCTCTCCCTCTCTCTCTCTCTCTCTCTCTCTCGCCCCTAACCTCCCCAGATAGTGTCGTGTGAGAACTACGTTCATTGGTATCCGCTGCGTTAATGATCGCGCGACATTCGGTTCCGTGCTTCAGCATTGTTACGCAAAAACGTATGAGTCAAACGCGCGTCAATATGTACCTGTCAATTAATTAACAATTATCATGACAAACAAGCGTAAGTCAACGCAAACATCGTGTGTTGCTCGCGCGAAATGGTATACCCGCGACGCGCGTATCGAGTGCGTGGACATTAATAGACGCATTATCAGCGGAATATCTCAACTATGCGGATACGCGATAAAGCGACGAGACACAGTTCTTCCTGCCGATAAGCGCACTTCGCGTGTTATTTCAGATAAGCTCGAAATGGACAAAAGAGCGGTCGCGA